GGGAGGAGGGACGAGGGAGTCACAGGGCCCAACTAATTAAACGAATTAGCAGTTGTAAACATTCGCGATGAATTCCTGAGAATTCCGGATGCAAACTTTCCTCGACATTCTCCCGCGATGGCGAAGTGATCATCACGATCTTCGGACTGTCTTTCTCTCTCTCTCTCTCTCTCTCTCTCTGCCTCTTTCGTTCTCACTTTCTTTCTCTGGTTGTTTCTGATGGATCTCAGAAACGCGTTTCAATACTCGGGCGCGAGAGCGTCCATTATGCCGCTTGAAGGTTTATTACGAGATACAAATATCCTATTTTATCGTCGTCGACCAGGCCTGCAGTGAAGAAGAACCCTTCTCGAACCCTTCTCGAACCTTCCGCGTAACGCATTATTGCCAAAGAACCGGAAAGATGGAAAGCCTAAGAGCAACGAGTCTCGGTTATCATTACCGGAGGTCTCTGCTGAGACCTTGCTCTTGGCGCAGTCTCGCATTTTTTACTAGCAATAATCGAAATCGCACTTTCGGACGCTACCACGCCGGTAGCAAAGATGCCGACTATCATGGAGAAAATAAGCGTAATTGTTACAGCTTATCTCTTCCGAGATTCTCGACTGTAAAGACTGTAGAGGAACACGATGTAAATGCGGCTGAAACGCTTTATTTCTGTTCTTGGGGTTGCTCCACAATCGATCACCGATGAAGTATGTGCATATGTTGGCACCCCGACTTTGCAATTCGATAGTTTTGATTAAAGCTCCTCTTTGAGAGGTGTAAGAGTACTGTTACATTTACAAAAAGAATTCCAGCAATTCGCACCATTAAAATCGCACTTTGAAAACGAGATGCTAACTTTACACCCAACATCAAGATCGAATAGTTCTGAAGAGCTCGTTTGATTCTTTTTAACGAGAGTTACTGATAAAACAGAATTTTCTTCAGACTGATGATTTAAGGATTCCATTTGACAACTTCTCAGAAATTTAAAACTATCTAGACTTGAAGTTAAATTTCTTCAATGCTCTTTATATTTTATTCTCAAAGCAAAAAGATGTTTTATCAGTAAATTTTGTCGACAGAAATTATCAGTAGAAACTATCAAATTGTAAAGTCGAATTGCTACTTTCGCACACGCGCACATTTGATGGAGACGAGGGCATGACACAGCCGTGGTATTCCGATTCCGAGTAGGGGAGACAGGCTGTTATAAAGTCATACAGGTCAATTTGTTACAAAGCTTATATCTTACCCAATAAATAAAGGAGGATATTCTCTCTTTAATGTAGATTATTTGTATCATGTGGAGTGTACGAAATGGTTTATGACAGAAATATTACATATGACATCTACAACCACGTATTTATAACTTGATGAGTAAATCTTTTCTTGTCGCTATATTTTTATTGATCCGTTAATTTTGGAATTTTTTGTCGCAACCTTTCTTGAGTTGTACGAAATGTTATAGATTAAGCAAATTTGTTCTGCATTTAGTTAAAACGGCCACTGCTTTATAAATATAATTTCTTTTATTTAAAATGATCATTCGGGTTAAATTGACTCAAGTGAGGTTAGTTGTCACGCGTTGCATGTCCGTCACGTAGCTATGACGTGATTTATGCAAAAACATGGAAGCATACGCAATGATATATTATATTATACATGTCACAACAGTGAATCTGCATAAGGTCCTATAGAGAGAACTCGAAACTGTCGTTACAAAGTTTATAGCAATTATCTTTTTTGTTCAATAATTATTCATTGTGCCTGATTATAAAGTAACACTAACTTTAATGAAATATTTAAAACTTCAAATAAAAAGAGGATATGTGACAACTGATCCTAGATATGAGGCAAGTAGCCACGTTTGCACCACATTGCTTACAACTTTGTAATTATTTGTGTATAAATATATATATATATATATATATATATATATATATATATATAAAGTACACATATACACATACATATACATGTTAGGATCATATTTTTCCGTTTATCTGAAAGTTGTATATGAAAATGTGCACAATATTTAAAAATATTGCATGCATATTTTTTTATAATACGTAAAAAGTGTGACGACTGGATCCGGTCTCCCCTACTATCGATTCTCGTCTTAAAGAACATTATCCCTCATTTCAGAATTAAGTTCCCCAAGTCATGGTACGCCTATGCGCTCCTTCCACACTCGCTCGTAAAGACACGCGCGCGGAACGAGTTAACGTCCCGCAATGAAACCATAGCGCCAATATTAATTTTGCGGAGGGGAGGGGGCCACACGGACTACTCCCCGCGCTCAGCCCGTTTTATTGGTCCTTAAGACAACGCCCAACGATTTCATAATACCACCGATCCCAATGAAACAGCAGTTTCCGACGATGCGATCGCGACTAAGCAGACTGAGTGAGGGGCCGCGGGGTCGAGGCGTGGAGAGGGGACTTTTACGATCCGGCAATTCGCGAAAGAGTTCGTCAGCCCAAGAAATATTTAAATTCAATCCGGATGCGGGCGCTGTAAACCGCGACGAATCGAGCGAGCTTCTCCTCAATAGTGGAGAGGGGGTTGAACGCGCACCCTTTCCTGCCCCTCTTACTTGTCCTCCTCCTCCTCCTCCTCTTCCTCCTCCTGCAGCACTTCCTTCTCTCCTGTTTCTTTATCGTCGTCTCGCTTGGGACTACGTTTCTCCTCAGCCGCAATTATTTCCGTATTGATTCGACAGTTGAACGCGTTTCGCGCAACACAATCTCGCGCCAAAAGTGAAAACGGAAAGCCGTATGTCCTCTACCCTGTTTAATATCTTGTGGTTCGTCCCACCTCGAAGTTGATTTCGAAATCGCGTCGCGCGTTTCTATTCAATCACGCTTGAAATAATATTTCGTAGCCAGCCTTGAACACCGGACGGAGAAGGGAAGAGCAAGTTGCCGCAACAGGGTTGGTCGTTCGGTTCTATCCATCGGATAGGAATGTAACGTTCCTCCCCCGCCTGCCGGGGGTCGCCGCCATTAATCCTTAGGCTGACTTTCTTTCCGCTCGCTGTCGTATAGAACGGGGCGTCCTCGTTATCGACGCTTATCGCTAATAAGATCGCTGGACCGCTCGTTATCGTCGTCGTCGCACTCGCCCTGTCCTCATTTTCGTACGATTGCGATCGTTAATTATCCCTATCGCAGCCGATCACCCTCCTCTCTCGCCTCGTCCCTCCTTCCCTCTCTCTCTCTCCTCTCTCAGCTACCTTCTCCTCCTCCGTTCCCTACTCCCCCCCCCCACCCACGCGCCTCCGTCGTTTTCCTCGTCATTATCATTCCGGTAATTACCGGTGTATTCCCTCGTTATCATCTTGTTATCGTTCGGCTATCGCGCTTCCGCGAGGAGTCGGCGCAGCGTCTCCGGAGAGGTCAGGCCCCGTAAACGCATGGGAGCTCGCCGATAACGAACGCGACAGTGGAAGGAGGGAGGGAAGGGGGCAAGGGAGCTTCGACCCGCGCTTCATATCAGCGCGTCCTGCGCGATCGATACTCGACCTCTCAATTCCAACGATATCGATACCGAACGGAGATCTTCGCACGCATCTGTCGCTTCGCGCGTTGCTCCCGGCCTTTAATATCCGCACCGATGATTCCGTAATTTGTGCGTCCGTGTACGTCGTCCCGATCCATTGATCGGTAGGTGAGACGATCCGAACTTGGCGACGACGGCATAATTGGCCGCGGCGTTGACCCAAGAAGCAACCGTATTAAAGGAGCGACCGACAGAACGCAGAACTGCGTCGAGAGGGCGAGAGCAGTCCGTAAGGGCATTAATGCGTCGGAGATTTATGTGGTAACGGCGAGGATGAAATTCCATCGCGGTAGGTGCTCGTATAAGTGGCACGCTGCTCTCGCCGGCGGAGGCGCGAGAGTTATGGTTGCCCATACTGATATCCACTATAAACTCCCCCGTCGGCCCCCGCCGCCCGCGCGTCCTCCTACACTCTCTACCCCGGCATACTTAATTAAATACGTATTAAGAGGCTGAGTGTGTTCCGATGTACCGATGTGCGCCCTGCATCGTGGAATAATATATGCTTCAGCGCGTTCGCTCGCGAGCGCGCGCTAATTACTTTCTCCCACCGAGGAGGTCGCGCCGACATTTTTACTTTCCCCGCGCATACTATGCACATACGCGCGCATACGTTGATTCGTCGAAACGATACGCGCGATAGGCTCGGGCGTAAACGAGAGGATTCTTTGATATTATGTTGTCATCGTGCATTGAGAGACTAATTTATCATCGATCAACGCTCTAATTACGCGTTCGTTATTCATTATGTGCGCACACATAACGGGCCGGTCGTTCGGTCAGCCAGTCGGTCGGTCGTTCTGTCTATAGAAGAGGAAACCACCGAGGGTCGTCGCCGGGTCTTTCCTGTGCCGTTACCGTATTCGCCCTTAAAGCCCCGTCGAAGAAAGGGCGCTCGTTACGTCCCGTGGGACAAAAAGACAGAAGTTCCGAATGGAACGTTCGGATCGGCACCCGCTGAGCCATACCGGGAAGGACGATTATTGTTAATTAAGGTGGGCGTGCTGCGCGCGCAGGTCACACTTGGCGCTTTCATGGGCTTTTTCGACAAAGGGCAGCTTAGGGCGTTTCACGAATTCTAATGTATCCTCCTTGACGAAATTTTCCCCAGCATTTGCATTCGAGCCCTGACTACTTTTCTACCGCTTGTCATAAGCAACTACCACAGACTTATCGGAGCTACGCCGGCGATAAAGTACTTCACTTTACGATCGGGCTCGAGCAATGCGCGATATCGCTCGGGAGGGGAAAGCGACCAGATAATGTTGCTCCGCGCTACTAATTGCAATGAAGCGACATTTCTAAGCGTTTAACTTATCGACAGCTCTCGACCAATCGCGTTCCCCACGAGATAGGAGGCGACGACAAGAGATAACACGCGTTGCCTCATCGATCTCAAAGTTTCAGTGGATCACGCGGCTGAACAACATTCTCTTTCCTTCTTGTTGCAGAGTTCCAGGAGCAGAGAAGAAAAGAGAGTCAAAGTGGCCGGAAGGAAACCCGGCTCCTGGATAACCAGAAAGAACTAGCGCAACGCAAGGGCGCTCCTCAACCTATTTCGTGTCAGAAAGCTGACGGTGGGCTCCCTGAGCCCACCCGCTCATTCAGCAAACTGGCGAGCGCGCTAACCGCTGGCATGAACCCCCACCATCCAGGCCACTCCGCAGGCTACCCCCACCACCCCTCGCTCTCGAGCAGTCCGCATCACAGCGGGCCCGGCGGGCCGCATCACGCGTATGGGACCGGCGGCGGTGGCGGCGGTGGCGGCGGCGGTGGTGGCACCACGACTACCCCCGATCTACCCAGCCCCCACTCGCCTCCGCACGCTGCCGGCGCCGGCGATCCCGCCACCCCCTATGCGGCCTTGCAACCTGGACAAGGCATGGGCAGCAATGGGCATCATCACGGTGGAGGAGGCATGATGCCGGATCACCCACATCACCCTGGACACCCTCACCCGCACATATCGGGACATCCGGCGTACCAACCGGTGAATCACAACAACAACTGTACGATCAAGGTGAGTGGAGAGTGTTAGTTGTGGGGTCGCGTGTGTCTTGGATTTATTCGCGTCTTTCGTCGAGAGACACATCTCGTGACGTGTTTACTTTGAGTTATGAACGATCTGAAACTCGGTTTCTCGCACGATTGGATGAAGCGGTATAGAGGAGAGATGTACAGGTGGTTCCAACGACGCGGCCTGTCGGAGAGGGTCTCGGGGTCCCTCGCGCGTCCGTCACAAAGGGCCCAGAAACGCCATAACGTGGGGTCACAGTCTGCAATTCAGCGGGCATTATCCGTCCACCGACCCTCACTTACCTCGCCATTGACAAACGTAACAATATAGGCATTTATGATGGAGAAATATAATTGAATAGGGGCGGAGGGGCCCGGCGCGGTTCCCTCTCTCGCATCCTTCTGCCCGAACCTTTACCCGGCTCCCCCTCTGCCTCCCTTCCATCGCATGACGTTCTCTTTCTCTCTCTTTCCTTTTGCTTCAACTGCTTGCTTCCCCGGATCGTTTCGTTCCTTCTAATGGCCCTCTTCTGTGTTGACCGTCAGCGGACTCTTCTTCTTCCATTCGTCCGAGAATAGTGGCCATCAAAAAAATCCTTGATTCCTGAAACCTCGCATTCTCCGGGATTTGCGCTCTCAAAGTGGTCGTTCTCGTCTTTTGGGCCCGTTTGATTATTATCCTTCGGCATTGTACCATTATCATGCTCTCTCTCTCTCTCTCTCTCTCTCTCTCTCTCTCTCTCTCTCTCTCTCAGCTTAGGATAATTAGATGCTTCGATTCTCCACCTTAATTCATCGAATATTCGGTTCCTTGAACTGTGTATCGTCGGACACTCTCGCGCATCCTCGAGCCTCCGGATTTTCTGTCCTTCCGTTCTTTCTTACGCCCTCTCAGTCTCGTCCTCCTCGTCTCTCGCATCAGCTTTCTCTCTCTCTTTCTCTCTCTCGCTCGCTCACTCGCTCGCGCCACTGTTCCCCTTTCTCTCTTTACCGGACCTTCTCTTTTCGTTATTCCGTCTCCGTCACTGCTTCTCTTCCTCGTACTCGCATCTCTCGTTGTTCTTTCTTTCTCACAGCTCTTTGCCTTTTCTGCCTTTCTCGCACTCGCAAGAGACTTTCTGTTCCTCCCTGTATATCCCTCCGTCATTTTAGACACTGTGTTTCCGTTCGTTCGCGGCTTTGTGGTCCCAAGTCCTTTTTTGACTCGCAATCCTACGACTCTTCGTCTTTCTTCTCCCTTCTTCCCTCAGTGTATCCCTTTTTAATCTCTTTTGTTGCAACAGCCTCTCCCTCTTCCACATTTCTGTTTGCATTTCCTCACATTTCGTTCATTCTATCGTTGCGAACACCTGAATTTTCGGATAACATCTCCGAAAATTCACTCCGACTTTCATTTTACACAACATTGTACGACTCCGTCGTACTTAGGGAACTTGTCCCAGAATATACACCCCTCCCTCGCACGTTCTCCACGCTCTTCGTCTCTTTCCCATTCTCTTTTTCTCTCGACCGATGCTATGGAAAGGCTCCCGCACCCCGCACCCCTTCCTCTTTCCCCAACCCAAGCCGTTGTCTCTCTCTCTCTCTCTCTCTCTCTCTCTCTCTCTCTCTCT